TGTATTGCTGTCGCATGATTGTTCCTGGAATGCACATGTGGATTATGTGGTTTCCAAAGCCGCGATAGCGTTGAATTATATTCAAAGGAATTTGAGATGTGCAGATCCTAACCTTAGAAGCACGGCCTACCTCACTTGTATTCGTCCAATCTTGGAGTATGCCTGTACTCTTTGGGACCCAACACAAACAGGTTTGATAAATAAATTAGAAAAAATACAAAACAGAGCGGCCAGATTTGTTTTGGGTCGGTACGGACAAAAGCAGAGTTGTACCGAAATGAAAAAGGAGTTAAACTGGGAGTTACTGTCGTCCCGTCGCAAAAAATTGCGTTTGAAGCTTTTATACCAGATATTTCATTAAAAAACGGGACTAGACAGCGACACTTACTTAAAAAGACCAGATTACATATCTCAACGTACAGACCACATACACAAAATAAAGCCGTGCCGGGCCAGGACGAACCTGTATTCAAACTCGTTTTTTGTTAAAACTATTAACGAATGGAATTGTTTGACATCTAAGCAAGTGTGCAGTGTTAATGAAGATGTATTTTTTTCAACTTTGTAACCCCCCTGCTGTAACGCCTCTGGCAAAGCGGGGATATGTATGAATAAAGAATAAAAAAAATAAGAGAGTAAAAGTGAGAGTGAAGGAGATGCACATTGCACACCTCCTACACAGTGCAGGGTTTCGCAGGTGGTCGCTCAGTGATGTTGCCTTCAAGATTTGTAGGAGGGCTCGTGTGGCTTTCTAGGTTGATCTACCTCAAGACCAAGCAACCAGGATCTTGTCGTTAGTAAAATGACGTTCATCTAGTTCTCTCAGGGCACAAAGAAATGTGTACCGCTTTTAGGAACAGTATTTACTATAACGGTGTAGTAGATTCCCAGAATTTAGTTGGCATGTCTGCTCACAGTTTTATGTTTTATGATAGTTTTCATTGCTTTAATATAAGTCAACGCTTATTTCTTTTAATGATAACTTCCATGCTCAGTGCCTGGGAATACGTATGATCTATTTTGTCCTACCGGCTTTAATTTCGTTGTGTTTGTGGATGGTAACCTGCTGTGTTAATTTTGAAGACACGTCTTTGCTTGAGGATATCAAATAGGCTGACGATTTTTTTATTGCTTCAAAGAATGACCATGCTTTTAATTTGACGAGTGAGTTAATGACGTTTTAACTCCCATACTCCTGCATGAAAAGGAATGCTCTTTACACATGAATCATCTTCCCACCACACTCTTCTGTTTTTAGCTTTCTTATTGACGTTTGACCAAAAACCGAGTTTGTCGGCAACACAGCCTGGCGCAATGTAAGTGGGCTCTAGTACAATTCCGCTCACACTAAGATGCTTAAGGGAGCAATTATTACCAACTGTCTGGAGTCGACGCTCATAAATTCGTGTCCTCATGCCATGCAGTATAGTTTTGACAACCAACTGTAAAGAATAAGTTCAGCCTGCTTCCCGAACTCCATCGTATATAGTGACTGTCTCAAAACCCTCCAACGAATTATAAAGTGAAGGGCATTAAAAGGAAAATGTCTGGCTTTGTCAAAAAAAGAGGCAAGCCCGCAGGAGTCTCGTTAGTCCATCAACTTTACCACAACCTCAAGGAAGTCGTGTACGTAGTCATCTCGGTGCCACGTAACTTGGCTGCATTTTCGGGTACGCCACGTCTACAAGAAGCCCGGATGCCAGGAGAAGCACACTAGAGCTCATATGAATTGCACGATGGGTTTGGTACACAAAATAACGCTGTAGTGTGGTAAGACATATACGTGCCATAGGCCAAACTGGGCGCTGTCTCAACGACTGAGCTCGTTAACAAAAAACTGTCTTTAAAGGAAAAAGAGAGTGGGCAGTGCACTTTCTCATTGTCTAGCAGATGTGAGCATCTGCTTCGTGAGATTAATATAATAGGCAAGAGCAACGACACATTATCGCGAGAGTTATTGGAGGCGTTCCTCATCAAGAGGAGAGTACGTGTTGCATCAGCGATACGTCTGTTTCACTTTGCAAAGCGAAGGAGCTCTTTTATCAACGAGTGTGATCACTATTTGATGATATTGATGCACGCATGCGGACATAGTTCTAATCTGGTGGCCTTCTCTCTCGAATAAACAGTTCAAGCTTAGCACTCGATCTTTCAGCTCACTCCTGCTTTTTTTCTCGAGTCTTTCATTTCTAATTTTGCGTTATGATGCACCCTATTGATGTTAACTTACTTCACCCCGCCGCGGTGGTCTAGATGCTAAAGTACTCGGCTACTGACCCGCAGGTCGTGGGATCGAATCCCGGCTGCGGAGGCTGCGTTTGCGATGAAGGCGAAAACGCTGTAGGCCTGCCTGCTGATATTTAGGCGCACGTTAAATAACACCAGGAGGTCGAAATTTCCGGGGACCTTCACTACAGCGTCTCTCATAATCATATGGGGGTTTTGGGACATTAAACCCTACATATAATATGGTAACTAATTCGTCCAACAGCAGGTCTTACTAGATTAAACGACCGTAAGATTTATAAAACGTGCATTGGTTATCCAGATGATTTCAATGCATTTGAAATCGAAATCCAGCATATTCATTTGATGTTTTAGTGTATGTGCGCTGTTTCATGCGTGCGACAATTTTTTGACGTCAGCACTGCAGAGCACGTCTTCATTTACACGTGAATGTTCTTTAAACCAGCGTAGCTTTAAAGAAAACTTATGCGCACGTATACGCATGCAAAATATTTGCCACTTGCAATATTAATGCGAAAACCTTTCAAGGGGCCCTGCGACACAGTTTGAGCATGTCATTCTCATTATTATTCCTGGTGCCGTGGATTGCGATGGTATCGTTGCGCAGGTGGCAACACTAAAATCGAAGCTGTTATACTTTAATTACCGAGATAAACTACCTTGATTTTTGACTACAGTGACACACATCAGCAATTTTTCATGGGAACTAATTCTATTTCATGTGACAGGGACCATAAAAGCTATTCATTTTTATTGGCTTGATGCGATGAACATTCGTGCAATAATTATGTGGTGGTAGATATGCAATACAATTGAATGCTAAAAATAATCAAAACATTTTAGTTTCTCAAAAAAATTATTCCTGTTTTTATTAGATGCATTTTCAGAACAACCAACACAACACTTTGTCGGTGAAGCTTAGAAATGGCACACTAGCAACTATTGGTGAAAACACATGCCTGCTGCAGCGTTTTTAGTGAGCCAAAAATGCGACACGCGGAGGACACCGGCGATGTCGTAGAACGCGTCTTGCATTCAAGCCAAGAAATGTCCTAACCTAGACGGTATACATTTTATAAAGCATGTATCTTACACAGTGGGATGTTGGGAGCTTTCCATACACCCGACGCACACCTTTTGGTGTAATGATGATAACGACACCGTCAAAAAGAGTGGTAGCGAGGTACTGTATGAAGGCCACCGTCAGGTGAGATTTCCGATATGTCTTTTGACACGTACGGTCATTGGAAAGAGCCTTTGATGTCAGCAGGAGTCGAAAATGATAAAGTGAACCTTTCTCGTCATCCATGCACGAGTTATGAACTTCGAGGTCTCATAACTTCATTTTTCATGCACTAATCACCATCATTATTGCTTCATTCGGCTCGTCGATGATTACAACACGCGTTCCAGTGATAAATAAGGCATTCGCAAAATTGTCGTAAGGTCCATATAATGGCTTATACTCGTGGTGATGGTCTTTCCAGCCGTGTCTTTGAGCGTTGCCAGCTGTAGCCTCTCCCCCATGCACTAGCTCTGCAATTAGTGAGAGAGCGTAAAAAAAGGGTAAAAACTAAAAAACCAGAAAGCCAAATAAGGCGAGATATAGCATTGTGAATGCTAATAGGTTTTTGCCGAACAAACTTTACAGATTCGTGTCCTTGAATTTTTAAAACCAATATTTAAATATCCTCTGCAGTAAAACAACGTCCAACTGAGAGTGCACCAAGTACTCGAATACCTGCTTTTCTATGTACTTGTGTGCGGATATGTATGCGTGCGTTTACAGAGTACATGTGTGTGTTCGGCACTTTTCATAAACAATGGAAATTCACTTATGTTAGCCTATTAGATGATTCACTGCCAGAGCACAAAACTGGTTACACATCAAGCACGATGCCGTCAGGCAAGCTTTATTTTAGCGAAAACAGTGGGCGTTCTCCTCATGATAGGCAATAACAGGTAACATATATGTAACTCGGCGCTTTAGATAATTTATTTCAAATATTTCTGCATCTGATATATATATATATATATATATATATATATATATATATATATATATATATATATATGTGTGTGTGTGTGTGTGTTTTAATGCTGCTGATTCGCCCGGTCATAGAGTAAAAAGTGATAGTCGTCTTCAGATGTCGTGTGGAATATGCACGTAGGGCTTTATGGTAATAAAACGGAACTTTTACATCATAATATAAGTAAATGCTTTTCAATCCTGAACGTTGTTCTTCTAGCCAAGTGCTCCGTGCTGAATTCAGCGCAAGTCAGAAGCTCGAGAAACATCTAGGGCTGCAACATTCATTTCTCATAAACATCAAGAAAATTTACTGAGTTAGTATGGTATGTATGGATAAGTTTTATGAAATAAAACACGCAAGAATGCACGTGTAGGTACTACATGCTGAAGAAACATGTGTGCATCAGGAGTCGGGCGCCCATAGTTTGTTTTTGCTATTTCCAAAGTCTTGCTGTTTGCCCTTCACCTCCGCCAGGAACACTATCCGGCAAGCGTGAACCCAGCACTGTCGCTGAGCTTTGCGTGAGACGATGTTTTTATCTCCACTCGGCTGCTCCACTTCCGCACCTTGCCATTTTCCAGCAACTGGCTGTCCGCATACGCTTTCGAAAACAAGCGCCGAAGATAGCTCCTGCCGTCGCGCTTTGTGTATAGGCACGTGTACCGCAGCAATCGTTCGACCTCGGATAACAAAAAGCGCATTGCGTTGCCTGCAGCAGGCTCAGAGCAGTTCTCTTCTCTGGCGTCCTTGCGAGCACCACGATTTCATCGGGCTCAAAATAAAACGTTTGTAATAGAAGCAGCGAAAGCGCCATGGAGGCATTTTTTTCGGGCAAACGAGCGGTGGTCACTGGTGCTGCGCAAGGTAGGTGTCTTCTGTATACTCCTCCCACGCGAAGAAATGCTCGGTAGTGTATATATATATATATATATATACATTTTTGACTTGGTTTCTGAATTTGTCTTGCTTGCCTGATTCGAAAATACTGCACTTTGCTTCATAAAGCAAGGAAATACAAGATTCACCTTTTTCCTTACTTCGCGTGAATAGCAGACAAAGAAATGAGAGCTAACATGGGGGCTCTGGCAGTTATAGGGCGCGAGTGCCACGCGGAAGTATACATATATAACAGGAAACGAGGGCACACTGCCCTGCGGTCGTTTTAGATCAATACAGGAAGTCAGTACATGATTTGAATGAGTTTCTTCCTATATATCGACGTCTTTAATCACCACCTTTATCCTGAGGGACGCTTACGTCCTCAACATGCGGAAGTATGAAAGCTTTATTGGCAGCGCCTGTGTTTACACGTATTTTAACTGTAATGGAGCGCTCTAATTTAGCGCAGTGCTGGTCATAAAGCGAGGACTTGAATTTCCAGATTTAACCGCTGCAATGTTATTGGAGGTATTAGGGTTCATATATATATATATATATATATATATATATATATATATATATATATATATATATATATTAAGGGAAAGAAGTGTACACCTAAGGGCTCGTTTTTCCGTGTTTTGACACAATATTAATGAGATCTAACAGACAGTAAATCAAGGAATGTACAGGGGAAGTTATTAGAACCAATAGAATGTAAATAAGAAGAAAGAAAAGTGGATGAAAAAATAACCAGCCATGAGCAGGAATCGAACCTACGACCTTCGATTAACGCGTTCAATGCTCTAACCACTGAGCTACAACAGCGGCCTCCCGCCACCCACTTTTTTGGGTTTATATGTGAATTTAGAAGTAGGAGTGACAGTCAGCGCCATCTATAAGCCAAGCGACGAGTGTGAACCACTCTTTTATGCGCATGTTTGGCGTCACGTAGCACGTGAACTTATTACGAGCGGGCAGCTGGTTAATAGTCCCTCGTATACAACCTAATGACACCAAGTCCGCCAGTACGAGACCCTCGTTAAATGAAATAAGAGAAAGAAGTGTATACCTAAGGGCTCGTTTTTCCGTGTTTAGACACAATATTAGTGAGATCTAACAGACATTCATGCCAAGGAATGCACAGGGGAAATTATTAGAACCAATAAAATGTAAATAAGAAGAAAGAAAAGTGGATGAAAAAATAACCAGCCGTGAGCAGGACACTTCTTTCCCTTATTTCATTTAACACAGTACATGGTTGTGAACTGGAAAGACACACGCTTCACGTATATATATATATATATATATATATATATATATATATATATATATATATATATATATATATATACTGTCAAGCTCACTCAGACACCCTCATGAAATATATTTTGCGCTAATTTGGACTCAGACTCAACAAAAAAAATTTTTTTTTGGGGGGGGAAGGCAGGAATCGCTCGCATTCACCTTCACGAACGTTTTCTTTCCCAGCACTCACTGGGACTCAAACGCACCAAAATATTACTCGCCCGGACTAACTCAGACTAAGTCACCACTCGATCCGAGTCTGTGTGAGTGCCAGTGAATCCGTTCGCCAAGAAAGAGCTTTTTTGACATTGATATCACTGCTTTTTAACAGCAATATTTCACGCAATTTTTATATTCTTGATAAATTCTTATATAATATACCTTCTAATACGAGTTATGAGTGTTTGCAAACCAGTAGAACATTTCTCTTAAAAAAGATCATAACGTGAGACATATTTATGACGAACTTACCCAGAAGTGTAGCCTCAAGGGGGGGGGGGGGGGGGTAAGCAAGGCATTCCCCTGCGTAATTCAATAAATACATACGGTGGGCGATCTATACTGCTTCAGATTAAGTGTGAGTATACGTCAGTATACATGTGAATTCAGCGAAGGAAGTAATGCTGAAGATTAGCAAATAGGACCACAATTCGGCCAAAAAGTGGAATTCACTCAGCCTCACTCAGTGAACACATTTCGTGCTTTGGCCTCAGTCGGACTCAGACTCACCAAATTTTCTTTTCCCGAACGCACACTCACGAAAATTTTCTTCCTCCGGACTCCCTCGAACTCAAATTCGCCAAAATATTGCTTACTTGGTCTCGGTTAGACTTGCACTCACGGCTCGGTCAGAGTCCGAGTAAGTCTCCTCAAGAGTGAGTTTGCTGATCCATGATTCGACATATACGTTAGAGCAAACGCCAATGAATTGTAGCAAAGAACTAATGCTTACATTGCCATTTCTAGCTTTGTCAATTAGTGTATTTCTTAGTACCATGCACTCTCAGTTTCTGACTATTCGGTAAATATGCCATTACGTAAGAAAAATACTTAGCGGCTGCTTCGTTGTACCATTACAAATGCTTCTTTGTCATAAAGTAAAGTCTATTTGACATTTGCCATAGCTAACACACAAGTATGTGTCATGTTTAGCCTGGCAAAGCAAAACATGGCACATATTGCATGCGGGGCCTTAACGGTCGAGGTGAGAATTACAGGTACGTGGCATATAAATACTGTTATGTTTTTTTTTAAATAGAACATTCGAGAGATATCTACCACCAGTACTAATGGCAAAGCTATGCCGAAAGTTTTAATTTGACTGTCTGTTGTTGTTCAGCTTAGATGATAACGATATGATGACTATGGTACTTTGCTTCACAATGAACTTTCTTTACTGATATCCCTTGTAGGGATGGGGGCACGGATCGCAACTGACTTGGCGAAGTTTGGGGCTACTGTGATTGCTGTAGACCTCGACGCAGAAAAACTGACTGAACTACAGAAGCAAGTAGGTTCACTTCTTTTAACGGAATATTATACATGATCCTTGCGGCACCCTTAAACATACATAAACTATAACTTTTCACATGACAGGGCCCGACAGTCCAGTTTGCGCCAACCTCATTTGTAATCCTTTGCAGAAAGCACCTCACTCAGTAAATCAAATTACTTCAGAAGCGTGTACTTCACCTCATTTTACTGAACCTTTCACCCTGCGTACTCGGTCTTGCGACTTATCACATCACCGCAAAATATCTTGCTTTTCGTTGCTCTACAAGCTCTACTAGATATGTGCCTCATGATTGATGATTTATTTGTGAAGTTTAATGTCCCAAAACCACCATAAGATTATGAGAGAAGGGATAGATATCTTCCTCAGTCAAGTACTCGAACCATTGGTAAACTTGTTTCCACTCACTGTTCACCTTTTCAAAATGAAAAACTTGCCACTGAACTATTTTTCCTGATTTATCCATAACGAAACAATGACTGAATAAAATATTTACCATCAATCATTTCTACTCAGAGTATATTCATAAATTCTCAAAAATTATTACGCTCTAAATATTTAAACATTTATTACGCCCTACTTTTATTCTTTCTTTCGATCTTTCATTGCATATATACAAATTGGCCCAGCTATCTTTTGCCAGATTTTGAAAATATGCCGAAACACCCAATTACAACGCGACCAAATGCATGTTATTGACCGTTGCCTAGACTTAGTGAGGCTATTTTCTGTGTTCAAAAATATTATTTATTAGATCTGTTTAATTACCTACCTTTTGAAGGACTGAATATGGATGAAAAATTTCAATTAGAAAGTTCCAGATCATTTTGAAAACACCTGATTAGACAGTTTCAAACTTTACGTCTGTTAAATATTAATGTTTTTCGACTAAGTACAAATGCCCGTGAAATAGAAAAAATACCACGTGACAAACCTACTGGCGCGGATTCTGGTGCTTCCTGATGTTCTGCGTACGAACGATACGCTTCCCTCACACCGGTTCATGACAGCTATAAGCAGTCACTGCGGTTATGGCTTTTGTGGCCGATATAAAAACGTGTATATCGCAAAGCCACCGCTATCGTCGCGGCCCTATTGAGACAGCACAATCGGGCAAATGCTAAGGTCGTTTGTACGCGGAACGTTAGGAAGCACTAGAATCATCGTGGGCACTGGCGCACGAGCAGGTTTACCACGTGGTATTTTTTGTATTTGGTGGACATTTGTAGTTAGCAGAAAAGCACTAATAATTGACAGATATAAAGTTCGAAACTGTCTAAACGAAGGTTTTCCAAACCAATCTACAACTTTTTCATTGCAATTTTTAATTCGTCTTTATTTTGGACAAGTTAGTTACTTAAAGCAGATGTAATCAAACAATACTTTAGAACACAAAGATAGTCCGGCTAACTTCAGGCAATGGTCAGCAACATGCATTTCGTCGCTTAGTAATTGCGTGTGTCGGCATATTTTTAGTTTCTGGCTAAAAATGACGGGGGCACCCTGTATATTACCTGAATAAACGTGTAGTTTATACCTTTATCGCCCTCTTCTTCACAACAGCAAGTCGCCATACTTTTGTTTTATTTTTTTTCCTTTGCTGTTCTTGTTTTATATTTGTTGTCTCTATGCAAACTCTCTCCTACGATCGATTGGTGATGAACTTCGTCTGTGCCTGATAACCATGTTTTCTTTCTATTCTTGAAGTCGAATTAGTGCGTCGTTTGTCTAATACAGCTAGATAGGCTTATTGGTATTTCATAATTAGGTAAGCCGCTGAACGCAAATAAACGATGCGGAATTAGACAAGTGGAGCACAAAGGTAGCCCTTAAAATTAATCTGCAGAAAACGAAACTAATGTTCAAATCTAGGAAGAGGACAGCGCTTTGAGGTTGGTAGCTCTGTACTTGAGGTTGTATAGGAGTACGTCTACTTGATACAGGTGCTGACCATGGAGCCGAACCTTGAGATGGAAGTAACTAGAAGAATAAAACTGAGGTTGAGCACATTCGGCAAGCATTCTGAGATCATGAATGGTAGATTGTCACTATTCCTCAAGAGCAACGTATATAACAGCTGCATTTTACCGGTACTTACTACGGAGCAGAAACCTGAAAGATCAGAATGAGGGTTCCACTTAAGCTGGGGAATAGGCGGCGAACCCTAAGGGACAAGAAGAGAGAAGAGTGTATCAGCGAACAAAGGGCTGTTGAGGGCATGATGGTCGAATTTAAGAAGGAGAAATGCTCATGGGGTAGAGCACGTAGCGCGAAGGCTAGATAAGCACTAGTCATTAAGCATCACAGACTAGATTCCAAGACATGACAAGCAGCGGAAGGGGAGACGGAAGGTTAGTTGGGCAGATGAGATTAGAAAGTTTGCGGGTATAAAATAGCAGCAGCAAGCACAGGACCGACTGTACTGGCGGAACATGGGAGAGACATTTGTCCTGCAGTGGGCGTAGTCAGGCTGATGATGATGATGATGAAATGACGCGGGACCAAGAAAGAAAAGTTGCAAGTTAGCGCTTGTGGTGTCTGATTTTTTAACTTCCTTCCACATTGTTTATTTGCACTTAATGATTTACTTAGTGCTTACTTTGTTCTTTTCTGCGATAGATACTTCCATTTCGCATTTTCGCCACTTACCTTCTAAAATTTCTTTGTTTGAATATTTTATTTTAATGAGAAAATTCTGCACGCTGTATGAAGTTCATCTCTCTCTCTTTCTCCCTCTCTCTTTCTTGCAGCAGCTTTTAAGAGACTTTTGGCACACTGTCAAATGATTTCAAATAAGACAAATGAATTACAACAAGCCAGCATAAGCTGAGCAGTGTAGAAAGAGATAACGAACGTAATTGAAAACTGCACCCAGCCATGAAAATTGCCACTCATTTAAACTAAGTCTTATTAACGTGATAACGTTGCTACCAAGCCCTATGTGGATAATAAAAGCATACAGCTTACCATGAAAGCTACTAATGATTCGTTTCATCCTCACCAACAGCTTCACGAAGATCATCAGCGGTCGCGCCATTGTGGGGCTGTATTTTATTTGTGAGAGGACATTTAGCGTTTGAAGCTCTCTCTAATTATTTAATGGTTTGTTTCATTTGATCGCCCATCAGCGAGTTGACGCCAACGATAAGTACGATTCCTGTCGTCAAGTTTTCTCTCTGTTGCACTGTTTTGAAGCCTTGTCAATGGACGCATGACGGTCATACTCATACCGCCACAAATTGGCCGCTGCCTTCAACACACCACTATAGTGGCTAGAGGGTGAAGGACGTGCATGTTTCTGTGTCACCGAAACCATGCATTGAGGCGCAGACATATTGCCACATTGAATATGCAGCACGAAGAGAACAACGAAGAACAGGCGCAGCGAGTGAAGAAGACGAGGTTCTCTTCTGATCAGTTTACCAGTATTCTAATACAATTAAAGTGAGTTCCCTGGATTCGACTGCTGCTTTTTCTGCATTGTGACACTGGTGGAGGTGCTGGGTACATGTTCGGGACGCCTGACAACAGCCCCGCATCTGGTCAAGAAAGACTTCCACGCATCGACACCCCCGTTCACCGCAGCAGCCGGCGCCTGTTAGGCCTCCGCCCGGAGTTTGGTCCATTGCCGGAAAGCGTGACTGTGCCAGAAAGCATGACGGCGCCTGGAAGCACTGGCCCCAACATGTCCAGCCCAAGCACGACACAGGTGACTGTTTTGAACCCTCGACTTCCGGTTGACTTCCACGGAAACGCATATGAGGATGCACATGACTGGCTCGAGGAATTCGAGCACACAGCGAATGTTAACGGTTGGAACACCACACAAAAATTGGGCTACGTTTATTTTCCGCTTCAAGACGGAGCCCGAACGTGGTTCACGAATCGCGTGTGGTCATCTTGGGACGAGTTCCGGCAGAAGTTTCTCGACACGTTCGCGAGCACTGAAAGACGAGAAATCGCACAGCGTCTCCTCGAGTCACGGATTCAGAAACCAAATGAATCCGTTACGATGTTTGTTGAGGACATGGCGCGGCTATTTCGTCGAGCAGATCCTAATATGCCCGAAGCCAAAAAGGTTAGCCACCTCATGCGGGGCGTTAAGGAGCAGCTGTTCGCTGGTCTCGTACGAAACCCGCCTACAAGTGTGGATGAATTCTCCAAGGAGGCGACATCTATCGAACGCGCACTGCATCTACGTTATCGCCAGTATGACCGCCCAACCCACAGTGCACCGATCAGCGTGGCAGCCTCTACCACAGCAACAACACCCGACGAAGGTTTTTTGCGCCAACTAATACGAGAAATCGTACAAGAAGAGGTCAAGAAACTCGTCGCCAAACCGAATGACTGCGCGATCGCCTCAGTAACGAAAGTTGTACGCCAGGAGATCAGGCAAGCGCTCTCATTTCCTGAGCCGAACACGAGCACTCCCAGGGCAAGCTATGCAGACGTAGTCCGCCGACAGCCAGCGAACGTGCCGACACCACATCAGTACCACCATCAACATCCACCGACAGCGCCTTGGTACTACAGAGAAACTTCGATGCCGAGGCAGCCACCACTTCGCAAAACTGACATCTGGCGTACCCCTGATCATAGGCCCCTGTGCTTTCACTGTGGGGAAGCAGGCCACATCGTTCGGTATTGCCCGTATCGCGCCGCAGGGTACCAAGGGTTTCCTTCTACGGTTCCTCGGCGCCATTTCAACGGAACATCTGACGTGGACACGAGTGTCATGACCCCGCGGGATGTTCCTCCTGGGTTTCGGTCACGCTCACCCTCTCCAGGGCGTTATTCTCCATCCTCTAGACGGAGCACCACTGACATGCCAAGAGGAGATCTCCTAGTGCACGCCGGGGAAACTAAAAGCAGCGACCTCAGGGGGGAAGGTTGCGAATCGTCGAAGTGCTAAAGACCCCCCATTACTGCCGAGCGAAGAGAGACACATTTTCAATGAGTCGACGAAAGATGAGGTTGTTACTGCCGAAGTTGCA